AGCAAGCTTGGGGTGGTCACAGTGCTGGGTCAGGCAGCATGCAGCGCCCCTGGAGCTGGGGGTTAAGGGCCTTGCTCAAGGCCCATGGACATGTGACTGCTGTATTTTATCAAGGCTCTAACCAGTGATCTTCCAATCACAGACACAGAAGCTTGACCCGCTTAGCCACACATCCATAACCACATTTAGAAGCAACAAGCACTGTCATCCCGTGGTTACAACGTGGTTATATATAATTCTTACTTCTGAATTACTAGGCTATATGATATGTTTCAATTTACCATAAATGTTAAATAAACTTTTAAATATTTCCACCAGACAAGAAATTAAATTTACAGTCTGCATGTTTGTGGAATGTTCACAAGGAACAAATACCGCAATACACACAAATGATGAGAAATATTATACAGATAAACACTCAGAATAATCATGGCAATATGTGAAATCAGTGTGCCGATGCAGAGGTGTGATGTAGAGCTTTATGGATGCACCATAAGCACTCTAAAGAACACAATTTATAGGTTTCTTTTCTGTGCTAAAGGGACAATCCAACTTTTTGAAACCACGCTTCGATTAGGTCTGTATGGCCCCCACCTCCACACAACACCAATTTGAATCCAAAAACTCACACACAAGCCAAACTTTATAAACTCCCATACAACTCAAACAGCACATGAGCAGCACTCACACAACAGCAAAATGTATCCCATCACACCGCTGACAGTATTGTAATACTATTGCAATGCAAATCTATTGAGTTTTTATTAATTACAAAGAAGTACATGGAAATCTTGGAAGCATTCAATTGTATATGTGTGTTGGAATAAATGAAGGTGTTTCAAGATCATTAAGATTATTTATCTAATATTACAGTCTGTTATAGGTTCGTATTCAATACACCAGACACACAGCTCCTCAAAGACAGAGAGCTCAGTAATTGTAATACATGTGAAATGTCGTGTTCTAATATCTTAACAGGTGTGTTCCATTCCATTGTTTCTACATGAAAGCTCTCTTAAAGACAATATCTAGGAACATGTAAGAAGCAATTTGTTCACTCTGCTGCAGAAACCAACATGGGCAAATTAACCCCCACTCTCCACCCTTAAAACTCTAGGGGCTTGTTTAAGTTTCCAGCATGTTCCGCATGTAAGCTGGCCCAAGTAAATTTATGTTTTTAAAATGTTACCTTTGACTCTCCAGCAGACTGTGTCTCACCCTGTGGCCCCATACACTAGGCCCAGTGTGCCAAGATGGCTAGGAGGAAGTGCTTGTTATGATCAGAGGGGCTCTGTGCTCTCAGCTCAGCCACAGTGGGCTTGCAGCCGTAAGGCTACTATAGAAGCACACACACTATAACAGCACAAACCATCAAAATCAGTAAATACCACACTGTCACCAAATAACTTGATTTCCATCTTGAGTATAAATGGCCCTCATATAGGATACTCATGTTTAGTGTCTACTACATAAATAACTGCACATAAAATCCAGCTGAAGGTGGGCATCCAACCTTGTGGATCTGTTCTTTTCTCATCTGTAAATATAAATAAATACTTAGATATTAAATTAGGTTTTCAACATTTTTTCTTTCATATATTGTAAGCCTGGATAAGTTTACTTATAAATTTACTTATATTTGACGAAACCGGTTGCCTTAAAAAAAACCTGATTTAACTTAAAACTTAACAAGTTGCTTCAACTCAAATTCTTTTATAATAGTTACTGTACTGCCCAAGTATTCCTCTCAATATACTAAGTTCAACACACTAAATTCCCAGTTGACTTAACTTAAAATCATTTCTAATAAATGATTTGCCCAAGTATAGGATACCTTTGTTTTTTGTCACATTTGCCTCTCACATACTTTGCTATTTGTGACAGTTTTGTTTGTGACATCCGAGGCAGCACACTGCCCGAGTCCCTCTCTGGCTGATGGAGAAGGAACCGGTTTAGGGCTGGAACAGGGCAAATGTGTGAAGGGAAGGAGTGCGCAGCAGCCGGGACAGAGCAGACAGTGCAGAAATGATGGGGTACTAATTCAAAAACACACAGAGCCTCTGCTCAAAGGCCGCTGAATTTGTAGGAAATCATCTCTCTCCTGGAATGCCTGGCTGACCTCCGCAAATGAAAATAATCAAAAGTAATTAGAAGTGAGCTGGTCTGGTCCTGAGAGCCCAAGGCAGGGGCAGGGGGGGCTTAAACATGGCGGGTGTGCTGCACTGCTGGGAAGGACTGGGTGGAGGCAGGGGTGCCCTGACCTTGTCCACATAAAGCTGTGATTTATGAAGTGCAGGGCAAAGCGACGGGGCTTCTGTCTTCTCCCGGAGAACCAAATTACTGAGGTGGAGATTAACATGCTAGCTACAGGCCTACTTCCAGACGAAGGAAATTTTTATTTACATTTTTCCCCTTTCATTTCCTCCCCTTTCTTTTAATGGTAATTGGCCGCAAGGAAACTCTCACTATAACGTGGATTTTTTTTGTTTTTGTAAAGCGAACTAGCTTTGCGTCCCCTCCAAGTTAAGTTTGCTTTCTCACGGCACACGTTTCAGAAAAAAGCTCATATACCGATGTTACACCAACATAAATGTTTAAGCAACATTAACTTAATTATCGGCTTTCCAAACACAGTCGATGTATTAAGAATGCTGTGACCGGTTTCAGTAGTTGTACTATACTTAATGACAGTTATGCTGCTAAAAACACAACACTGTGTTTCCCCAGTATATTACTCTGGTTATGTTAAAAAGGAAATGAAGGTAAAACGATCCTAAATTACACCGGTACGCACAGAATACCGTTCATTTCCGGGAGTATTCATATTTGAGAATTGTGGTGTGGCAGTTGCGCATAAATTACAGGCTAGTTGCTGAAATGTATGCAGGCCTAAAATAAGATCTTTCACAAACTGTGATCAATATAAGGACAACACGCATCGCCTTTACCAAATAAACAAATGTGAGAAAGTGATGACAAAAACTTAATTTCCATTATATCATAAATGAAATTCCGTTATAATTAATTTCCTTTCCTTATTAATTTCTCAAGCAATCGTTCGTGTGGTGTTTGTCTGTACGAGTAAGCCTATAACCGGTTAAACTATTTCCTGTAAATTGAACATTTATTTTTAACAGTAGATTAAAACAATGTAGCTTAATTTATGGTTTTATTAATCAATCACGATGTCAGATAAGTTTGTCGACTAGTCTTTGTAGGAATCCTGTGTTGTGTGTTGAAATGAAAATTTACATTGCACGAGCAAAATGGCACTAAAATATTAAGAGATAGTCTTAGAAATCTTCATTAATAATTGTCTTTTTTTTTTAAAAAAAAAAGTATTTTAAATTTAGTGGTATTTATCATTATCCTTATTTGTAATCCTATAGTATTTTTAAAATTGGATATTTTTCATTTTCACGTAAATTAATATAGGCCTATATTGGCTTATATATTATGCGATGAAACACTTTACACTTTTATAAGTGGTGAATAAATGGTTATTGAAAGGGGCACAGCATGCTCTTTTCTTCTGTTTTTAGATAGGCCTATGTCTTTCCAAGAATACAAGTTACTCCTTAGTGTTTTGCAAACTTTTAAATAGCCATGCATAATGCAGAAAAACGTATGATTTTGATTGTCCATATGAAAGTTTTAGTCAGTTCAGAACGCCATCTCCTGACAGACGGTTGAAGTGCAGGTACATCTATTGACTGCATAGGTTTCGATCACTTTTGCCCTAATTTACCTCGACTTGGTTCTGATACCACATACACTTTTGTTTATTCACCAACGTTTCCTCCTTTTCAGTAAGGACTCGGGAGTCCATCAAAAACCTCAATCAGATCCACAGAGCCCGAGCAATCACCTTCCCAGATTACTTGTATTTAATACACAATGCATCATAAAACAAATCCCTCATCCTGACAGGAAGAAAATAGAACAGCTCATAGCTCGAGCTTATCCCAATTTATGGCTAAATTAAAAAGGGTTTCAACAATGGACAAGTCCAAGAGAGGCAGGAAATCAATGGCCGGCGAACCGGGGTCTCTTTTTGGTTCTCAAGCAGCGCGGTGTATGGGAATCTCAGGCGAGGTCCGGCTTATTTACACATAATTTTTCCTGTCCTTCCTACGTTTGCTCTGCGATTTTGTAAAACAATGGACATTATCTGAACTAGAAGTTCAATGTCATAGATAGCGGGCCACGGAGACATATTAATCATAATCGCATCGCATTAACCCTGCTCTCCCCCTAAGGTTGTGAGAAAGGAACTCACACTATCCTGCTTACAAATTCCATTCCACATTTAAACAAAGTAACTTAATTTTTTATATATTTGTTTAGTATCAATACCATTGTATGTGTGGTCATGAATCTATAATTATTATTTTTTTTAACAGCATACATTTAATACGATATTTAACGCTTCGTTTTTAATAGAAAAAATATTTTCTTCTAGGAAATTGATAAAATTCTGATTACAAATTTATAATTGGTCTTTTAAATTTCTCTATATCATTGCATAAAAAAATCCCCAGTGTACAATTTAATGCAAATCAGTGTGCTGAAGCAGCAGAGATATAGTGCTACCCTTCAAAGCAGGTGCAACGTCGGTCACACCAGAAAATTTTGAATTGACGCTGGCTGAAAACATACGGAATATTAAAGTTGTTTTTCGTCATACAATAAATCCATTTTCTTTAGGCAAAAAGGTAATGAAAATAATTCGCCGTTCTTTCAAATAATTGTTAAGATGAAACTTTTCGTTTATTAATAAATTATTTGATATAGCTCATCAATCCAATAAACAGTTTTGAATGAGCTAGTAAAAATACAAAGAATACAAAAAGTTTGACTTGGGAGTACTGGTTAGTTTTATCTGAACAATATTAGGGGCTGGTGCATTTCTTGTCAGTCTAACAGGACCTCGTTTTCCCGACCTTTCTCTGACCTCTTTTCTGCAAGCAGGCTGCTGTCGCTTTAAAAAATTACTGAGGGGAGCGTCGTTCAACTTCCGATCGCAGACAGGCGAGATACCCTGACTGCCTTGCATGGTATGGATGAGAGAGCAAGATTCCCTTTAAAGAGACAGTCTGTGAAACAGAAGCGCATCATATAGACGCTGGGAGATTCCGCCATCTCTCTATCACCTTATCAAAAAGGGAAAGTATAGCTCTCCTGCCCTTCAAGCGGAAACCGGACGATTTTTTTTTCGAGGAACAGTCAGGGTGGTTCTTTGTATTGAAGTTGGAAAAATTAATAGTGCGATGGATTAACACGATGTCAAACTGACAAAAATAGAGAAGTTGAGGGACAGTATCAGGAGTTTGCAAAGAAAAGATATAAACATCCAGTTTTTAAAAACTTTTTAAGGATATAGGACAATGTACAGTTTGGACGCAATACACGGGTGTTAGAACAACATTTAATCATTTATGATGTTGGTGATTTTTATCCTTTTCCACCCAAACTGAAGTGCATTTTTGTATTTCGATTTTCAAAAAGCATATATTACGGTAGGACAAACGTTTTTATTGCCTATTCGTTTTAAAAGTTCATAGGCACTGGATACTTTTATGAATACCGCATCGCATATAATTTTATTGTTGCATTAAGAGCGATAAAATGGCATGACAGTTTTGACTGCTATGTGCGGAGATTCAGGAGTTTTCTCCGCATCAATGTTTAGGTGAGTTTTTTTTTCTTTTCTTTTTTGCTCGAAAATCATGGCTGTTGATCTTTTAGCTAGCTCATTACTTCCCGATCTAACTTGCTGTAGAATCTTCTTTATTAATCTTATGGGGAAAAGTTAAGACCATGTTAGTCGTTATTTTATAATGTAAACAGCCTCGCATCACGTTTTTGTATGAATGCGCTGTGTGAATGTTATACAAATGTAATGCTTCTCGTGGAAAAACCAATTCGTTCCCTTTTAAGGTTATACTTTTTATGTTACGCGTTCGCTGTAATATATTTAAGTATGGTAAATTTACCTTTAAACATTTTAAAAAGTAAAACTAAATGCAACAGACGCTTAATTTGTTTTATAACTTCGTTTGCTGTATTATTCAGGCAAATTTATAAAAGCAAAAATTATTATTTTATAAATTAACTTACATTAATACATTCTATATTAAAACCATTTCCCTAGAAGACCCATACTTACTTATACTTTATTATTTTATTTTAAAACGTAGGCCTATTGAATATTTAATAATTTAATAATTGAATTTGTTCATTAATTTTTATATCAACAGTCTATAGAAGTTATGGATAATTTATTTGAAAAAAATTGCTTAGGCCTACGTAAATCCAAACGGTAAACTCTAAAATAAATTATGATAAAAAATAAAAAGAAATATAAGATTTTGTAATGCAGTAATTCTATGAATTGACTCCTTGAAAAGGACTCGAAACCCATGTTACAGTCAGTTCAGGGATTATGTAAACTGTGCCAGCACTTTTGGCCCTCTTTTCCATCCGCGGATAAGTGCCTTTTTATCCAGCACAATGTCGTAATTCTAACTTCCTTTTGGTGGTAAACTTTCTAACATAAGGCTGACGATATCAATGCTTCAGTGAATGTAATTTAAAAATATATGCAGGAAAATACATTTCAAGATTTTCCATGCCAATTATTTAAACTAAAATACATATTTTTTCAATAAATTTCAAACTGATTTACAGAAATTTACAGTGTAGTTCTGTCCATTGTAGTACATTGTGCACATTATTTGGTCAGTGTTTCAAAATACACTCTTATAATTACTCTTTAGTTTAACAAGAATGCAAGATTTGCAATCTTTTATTTTTAAATATTTCAATGGTTTTGTTTAAAAAAATCTCAGTAAACCATCATAAAATAAAAATTATGCATGTATACATAAATTGCAAGTGTGTGTGTGCGTGCGTGTGTGTGTGTGTGTGTGTGCGTGTGTGTGTGTGTGTATACACACTTTCAGAGAGTGAGTTTACATATTTGTCTGGGTGTTTTTCTGTGTTTCTGCATCTGGATGCAGACTCCTGCCATGTATCTCCAGTTTCTCCATGGGAGGTACAGGTTCTCTCCATGAATGCTTCAGTTTAAGATAGAGATCAGCAAGGTGATCTTTGCCTCCACCTCTCTCTTCTCTCTCCTGTCGGTGTGTGCAGAATTCGGATGAGTCGGGCCATGTGAAGTTCTGCGTGGATGCCAGCGGCTCTGATACCAGGAGCTGGCTCCAAAACATCCAGTTTGCTCCGCTGGCCCACCAGCACAACCTGAACCTGTGCCAAGTAGATGATCAGGTATGTGGAGTACAGCGCTGTGACTGGAGGCTGCGGCCTGCTGCCTCTTGCCTGCCTCAGAGCAGTGCAGAGCTGCTGTTTTGATCTGGCTGCCTGATACCTTCCCCCCCAGCAGACCGCCATGTTCGTATCACTCTGTTTGTTTTCGGTAATTGTGTCTTGGCTTCAGTGTGAAGGACCACAGGAGCAGCCTCCAAAGAGCTAGCTATGCTGATACTTATAGCACTCTTCCTACACTTACATAATAAACTCTGAGCTATCCCGGGAATGTTTGATTACTGAGCGCCTTCGTGCATGCAGGTTTCTCCTTTGACCGGTGAGCCTGCCTTCAGGAGGCTGTCCTGAGTCACGGTCTTATCGGCACTTTATGTGGGAATTTTCACAATCCAGTTGCCAGTGGTCATTTCATCTAGAAAAAAAGAAAGATTCATTCATTCATTATGGAAGTTTTAGAATCAAATTAAATCAAGGTCTACAATATTTTTGTTATATATAAGAAAATAAGGAAGTGTGACTTTTAGTAATATTTTAGAAAATCATGTAGTAATATTAAGCAGGTAAATACCAGTATTGGCTTATTTTCAACTAAATTTTTTTTACTAGATGGCAGAAAGTAAATTTTCACCTGAGGCTGTAATTGTAATTTTGTAATTAGGAACGAAAAGAACAGTGGCTTCACCAGTGTGGTGGAACATATTACAGTATCTATCACATATCATAATGGCTTAAGCCAGTTCTGCATCTTTTCTATTAATATACATATTTAATAACATTATTAAGTAATAACAATTATTTGGACTATACAATCTCATTATGTATAATACCACATTTATGTTAATATCAATGCCAATTAAATTATTAATAGTATACTGTATTTTACTGAACATTTCTGAATATGGTTTATTATTAAAGATGCCTTACTTGTCAGCAAACTTTTAAAAATATGTACATTAACAGTAATGACAGGTCATAGTAAGTAGCAGCATTTATTAAAGAAAGACAGTCAGTTAAACATGATACTTTAGTAGTGATCAGTTTAGCACCTGATCTCTATACTCACAAAGCTTTTTGACTATCTACTATATTATTGCTCACCTTTTTTCATCATATGTGTTTGCCTGACAGTCAAATTTATTTACTTTCTATGTGCTTGCAAGTCATTTTAACAACCATGTAGTGTAATTCCTCTATCATGAGCTCTCAATTATACTTCAGATCAAAATTTTAACCAGTTTGCTAATTACTCATAACAAATTTCTTTCCACAGCCATTGTTCTCTCCCACTGAGGGCAGGTCATTCTCCATTGATCGGAAACCACATTAAACATTGTATTATACATATGTTTATCTTAATAATGAGTACAATGCATGTAATGAGTCTGTTTTCCACTGAGTGAAATTTTTAAAAAGATCTATAATTTATCTTACAAAATTTACAATGGATTTGGGTTGTTCAGAGAAGAGAGAGAAAGGGGATTAGAAAAAAGTAGAAGCCATTTAAAAAGAGAAGAGATTTGTCACCTGTCATTGTCATGGAGCAGCGCAGGGACTGTGCCCTGAATTCACAGTGTAGGAGGCCTAGTGTCTGAAAATAAGAACACAGCTTGGTAATGTTCAGTTCAGTAATAACAGGAAATTATTAAATGTTCTAGATAATTATCATTTGCTTTGGTTAAGGTTAAATTCTATGTGGAAAAACTCTTTTTGGTTGTTATATATGTTTATTTGGTTTTTTGGGGGCAGTCTGAAGTCACAGGTGGTGATGACTGTAATTTCCAGTTGCCATGAATGGTAACATCAGCAGTGTTTATTTTATTTTTTTGTGTTAGCATATCATACCATGTCAAATTCATGGCTGGTTCCAGATGAGCTCCCAGAAGTTTGCTCTGTTTAATTATGTTGCTTCTTGGGTCAATAAATCCTTGATAAACAGTAAAAGCCATCCTAAAATTATAGTTTTGTTGAAAAAGTTCATTTATACAATACCAGACAAAAGTCTTGAAACACCTACTGAAAATAACTTATTTATCAGTCTGATAATGACCCGGAGCACACCTCAAGGCTACGTTAGTACTATATTATTTTGTGAACAAGAAAAGAGATGGAGTGCTGTGACAGGTCCCCATAATCCCCAGACCTGAACCCTATAGAGCTCCTTTGGGATGAGTTGGATCAATGAGTAAAAGCAAGGTAGCCAACTTGTGCCCAGAACTTGTAGAAACTCCTCCAGCACTGTTGGAGAAACATTCCAGGTCACTATAACTGGAAGCTGTTTGAAAGAATGCAGAGTCGGCAATGCTGTCATAGATGCAATAGGGGGCTATTTTGAAGAGTGTAAAATTTGAGAAATATTTGAGATATTGAACACTTAACTTGGTTGTTGCAATATAATGTATTACTAATTGTATTACTTACTGCTTCAAGGACTTTTACTATAAGGTGAATACTGTAGGTGAAATAGAGATTGATACTGTATATTCTGTGAGAGCAGGTGCTCCAGGTAGCACTGCTTCCTTTTGCAAGGAGAAGACATGCCATTAATTGCCCATAGTATGTGATTATACTTGTGACTGTGTTTTATGTGTTTCCCCTACAATGTAGTGGAATCCCATCCAGGGTGTTCCTCCAACTCTGTGCTGCCTGGGACAGACTCCAGACATCCCACTACCCTGTACTGGGTAGGAGACTGGAAAAGAGACAGACAGATGGAATATTGACATAGAACTCATTCCCCTCAATTACTTATCATTAGGCAATAGTGGAAATAATGATGATTAGATGATACTTTGAAGGCAGTATTACTTTGTGACATATGTTCCACGGTGTTGAATTGTACTACAGCTCAACTGAGTCTAGCAGTTTATTGCTTAAAATTTACCCTCAAACTGTTGGGGCCATTTTGCCCCACAGCAGAGTTGTGGGATGATAATTGTGTCATATATATTCAAACCAGTGATTCTAGAGACTAATAAAGAAATAAATGAGGAAAGTGGGACATTTAAGAACAAACTATAGGTCAAAGAACAAAGACTCCTGACTTTTTAAGCCTTTTTGTATAGGTGAGTACAAGTGTCAGTATTCCTGCTCTTAATTGGAAAAGACTAAAGTTTCCAGAAGCAACATCCTCTTTCTCTCGTGGTTTTCTTATAGCTAATCTTCAGAATTTTACTGTAATCATGATTTTATACATTAGAGCACCTTTTAAACATCTCAGGTCAATTCACTAATATCAGTGTTAGCAGTGAGGTCATACAGTCCATTCCCAGATCTTTTCTAGACTGCTTTCCGAACTACTGCGCTTCATTTGCATCAAGCATATATCATACTCTCCAAAGAGGCACACAGTAACTCCCTGACTTTCCCTCACCTTCTTTTTATTGTTTGATAGTCATATTATTTCAGTGAGTTCATGTAAAAGGTGAAAATGTCTGGGCTATCTGTAATCTGCAGGAAAGAGCTCAGACCTCTGTTCTCAGGTCCTGCTCAGTTCCCTGCATTCTTTCTAAAACAATAGGGCACCATTTTATCCCCAGGACTGCAGTAACCGACGTTTGTGTTCCAGCAGAGATGATGTCATGCAGAGGCATTCAACAGTTCGATTTGAACTGTCTTCAAGGATAATGCCTCTTTAACCTTTGTGTTTCCGAGAAGCCACAGTCATGTTCTAATAACTCACAATCCAAATGTCAGCACTTTGCTGGACAGGAAACTAATAAGTTAAACCTTCAAGCAGTGCCAAAAATCATTGGTTTTCAATTGTTTCAAGAGTACTATTGTGTTTGCAAGGGAAGTTGAGCGATCTCATAGCTGCTGTGTTATTCCACACATATCTGTGGAAGCATAAACAGTGTGGCTTTGGAGTGTACTTTTGAATGTGATAATTTGTCACAGAAGTACTATTATTCAATAAATGTTCTACAGTAGTGATGAGTTTAATTGAAAATCATCAGTGTTCCTTATCTCATCTTGTAGCTGTATATGCATCTGTGTGAGGATCAGAGAGGGAAGACAGAGAATTGGGGAGATGGGAAATGTGTTCTGCATTGCTGTCTATAATTGTTTGCGTTGTGTCATGCTCCCACGTTGATTGTTTTCTTATTTGCTTCTGATTGGCAGATATTTTATAGAGTTACACGTGACATTCAAGCTGGTGAGGAGCTGCTACTTTTCATGAAGGCAGAGGAATATTCACACGAGGTCATGGCACCTGACATTCATGGTCAGTTTCATTAATCTCAATGATAGAGTAATCATCTTGCATTTAGACACCAAATTCACACACATGTGCAGTGTGTTTTACATTGTCTGTTGTCACAGAGGAAAGGCAGTATCGTTGTGAGGACTGTGACCAGAACTTTGAGTCCAGGACAGAGCTGCTGGATCACCAGAAACAGCCGTGTGGGACGCCACTCTCTGGCTTCTCTTTACCCAACCAGGGGGACGCTTCCCGTAGCCCTCAGGAGTACAGGGACTGTGATCAGGAGTTGCCAGACATGCAGAGGTGAGCAACAATGTCAGTGGATATTTGTCCAAAGATCGCTTTCATTTTTCAGACAGCATGTATTATTCAGTTTTTATTAATTTGGGAATAATTTCAATGTTTTATACTTTTGAAAGGATAATATAATAAATGCAGTATCATGACATTAGATGTGGAATGTTATACTGTATGAGAATTAATGTTTCCTGTCCTTTAGTCTGGAGACACATGCCCTGGTCAGTGTGGAGGAACGAGAATACAAATGTGACCAGTGCCCTAAAGCCTTTAACTGGAAATCCAATCTGATTCGGCATCAGATGTCACATGATAGCGGCAAGCACTACGAGTGTGAAAACTGCTCAAAGGTACAGTGAAGACTTTAACTGAAATTATCAAGCAGTTTGTCTATATCCGGTATTTTCTCATAGTGCATAGAGATTATTGTTTTATTTTGTGTACAGTGTGCTTAAGCACATTTGAATGGTGCTGACGCTGTTGGCGTTCTTGCAGGTATGAATGTTTTTGAATGTCTGTTTGTTTGCGGAGGTTCAGGAGGGTGACCCTCCCATTTGTTTTTCGTCCCTCCCCAGCAGGTGTTCACAGACCCCAGTAACCTACAGAGACACATCCGCTCACAGCATGTGGGGGCACGCGCACATGCCTGCCCCGACTGCGGCAAGACTTTCGCCACATCGTCGGGCCTCAAGCAGCACAAGCACATCCACAGTAGTGTCAAGCCCTTCATATGTAAGTCAGTCAGAATCTTCATATGTAAGTCTGCACTCTTTTCTAGCTCCATTGAGAGCAATTTTGTGCAATTTCTGTAGCCTTGTTGTAAACTGTTATTAATAATTGAATTTATTATTGAAAGTAAATTAATTCTTATAAAAATATGTATTTTACAAAATTACATCCACTGTCATTGTCTTCATCTTAAGGTGATTTGTTATGATGAAGAATAATTAAAAAAATAATTTAGCAAAATGATGGTTATCCTAAAGCCTGTAATTTGATTCTACTTTGCAGGATTGTACAGTTACTTCCTAGTTGAGTGTTTTAGTTTGAATGTTAAAAATCAGCTTGGATTTTCATCAGTAGAGTATATGTGAGAGTATTAATTTTTAAAGGAACAAAGGCAGATTGGACATACAATAACTGATACCCAGTTCTACCCAGACTCACCCAGAACCCCAGACTATCCAAACACACAACGATCTCCATGTTGATCTACATACATCACCCTGCTAACCATTCCTCCATAATGCACTGGGTGATGTTGCTCAGCTTATAAGTATCAGTACCTCCAAATAGCAACCATATGTAAGCCTTCAATATACTTAAAATAGGACTCAATTGAAGGTAATCAGCAGAAAATATGGAGCCATAACTACCAACTAATGGCTGAGCTAAGCGGCCACCACACACTGAACAGCTGTGCATATGCGTTTAAGGGCACTACGTTAGCTTGTTAAACACAACCTGCTACCAGATTGCGTTGTGTTCACCCAGAAGAAGTTGAATCAAATGCTCAGATATATTCCTTTATTTAAGTTAGAACAGATTTTTATTTGCTACTTCAAGAAATGGGCCGTGATGTAACGCTGCAGTCTTTGGGAATCTCCAGAGCACATGGGTGCAGCTCGCAGCATGTCTGTCCCTCACTAGTGCTCAGAGATTTACTGCAAGATGTTACAATAAAACACACACATCATACAGTCCGTGGTGTCAGGCCTGTCTCCAGAGACAACAAAACGATAACAGCAATCAATCCCAAAGACGCCTTTTCATATTTCATCTTTCCTAAATATTCCAATGAAAAGCAATCATTAATATATATTGCAGTTCATTGGTAAGCCACTTTATTTATGTTTTTTTATCCCTTGTCTTGAACCAGGAGTTATATACAATTATATATTGCATGATTATATAATATTTATGGTGAGCTAAGCTGGTAATTAAAATGCTTGATAAATAGGATGTGACAGAACGGAGCGTACAGTGGTGTGATGTATAACGCCCGGCAGGCTGTGCTGTAGGGCACTAAAACAGACTGCGTGACCAGCTACAGGGGGTGCAGTGCAGTGCAGTGCAAAATGAAGAGCCAGGCACATTTGTGGGTGTGGGCAGGCTGGGTGGCCCCTTAGGGGTCACGGTGCCACGGGACATGACAGCTACTGTAATGGGAAGCGCCAGACAGGACTTCAGTCTATGGGAACCAGTCCTGCAGGATAGCATTCATTCAACTCAGCTTCCTCCTCCTTCTTAAAATAGATCCATTGTGCTGCATGTCTTTGTGTCTCCATCTCAGGGAATATCCAGTATCTTGAGGTGCATCACTAGCTCTGTCCATTTCTCACCATGTTAGTCTTTTTAGCCCATAACTGGCAGTCATTTTGAGCAAATCACCTGATGAACATCATAACACGGACAGGATATTATAGGTGGCCTTCTAGTCAGACGACATATTAAATGCAAGCAAAAAGACAAATAGCAACAAAATGTCTTTGTCTTTTTGCATATGTGAATGTTAATGTAGAGATATGCATTATTTGGGGAACTTTTACTGTGATGTATGGGTAGAAATGATATTGAATCAGGTAAAAAAAAAACATATAAACATATAAAAACATATAACACCAAAATATTGAAAAATGTACTCTATATATCTAAAACATGTAAATTTGCAGGCACTTTCTTATCAAGTCAAAAAAAATTGGCAAACCTATTTCAAACTTTGCATAGGCAGGTATGGATGTCGAACTGGAAGTAATTAAATTCTGAGACAGATCGCCCCAAAACTGAAGCAGCACCACTTAGTGGCAGCAAAGAGAAGGGTGAAAGAAGATGACATTTGACCTTGTAAATGGGATAAATCAAAAAGTATTAGATGGATTTGATTACTGTTTCACAAAAACATCATATGGATGAAGTTATACACCCGATATCATTTTGAGGCAAATTGTCCCAAAATGAAGCCGCAGCACTGTGTGGCAGCAAAGGATGAAAACAGCACCTGTAGAAGACACTTTATCTTGTGAAGACAGTAACTCTGAAAGTATTCTCCAGATGGGTGAAGATTTGAAAGTAGGTCAAATTCTAAGACAAATCACAACAAAATTGAAGCAATAGCACTTAGTGGCAACAAAGGGAAGAGTGACTTAGATAAGTTGCTTAACCTTGTGAACAGGATAACTCATTTTGATATTATTACTCTATATACTTTATTTGATATTTGTTGGATCGTATTGCCACTTTAACAATACATTACAAAAACATTACATGGATGAAAATCTACATCTAATAGGCCAGAGACAAATTGCCCAAAATTGAAAAAGCAATGAGAGGAGAAGGCAGAGGCTGTAAAGGGAGGTTTGAAGACAAAGTTGGGCTTTTATGGCCTTTCAATAAAGATAAGCCTGCCAGGTAGGTTTGGGCGGTATTACAGCAATATTTTTGTAAGACTGTATATTCATTTGGTGAAACTTATCTTGGGATAAGATAGTGAGCATGCCATATGCATGCATGCTTATCTTAACTAGTCAAGCATTAAAATAAAAATTTGTTTAGTTCCAAAGTTAAAATGCCAATATAACAATTATTTTTTTGTTTTCTAGTGTTTGGTTTTCGCAACTGAGGGATCTGGTACATTATGCAGATTTTATATGGGGCCCGTGGAGCAGTTTTTTGCCAGCTAGCTGGAGCTTGTCTGTGGCCCCTGTATAGACCATATTTATATGTGTCTGTTACAGTAATTAGTGTTATATCACATCAGTCATAGTGCAAATGAGGAAAAAAATAGAACATAAATATTTAAAAATACAAAAAATATATAGCTATAAATGATCTTTTCAGACATGGATATTAAAACATAAAGAAAAGGAATACCTAATTGGTGGGTAAAGATTCTGCAAATTAGCATGTAAGTGAAATGTATAATAAATGAAAAGATGTAGCTTCAGAATTACATGTCATAACTAGAATTCACAGCATTTAGGTAAAAACACATTTATTGGCTTTCACATTTCCAGGTGATCTATCCTGCTTCTGAGAGCAGTGCTTCTAGAAATAGTAGAGGTTGGGGAGTGTGGGATGAGTACGGATTAGATGGACAGAGCAGGATACTGGGCAATACAATGCTGTCATTCCGACAGCCCCCTTATCTAGTTATTGTTTAAACTTTATCTCATTACTTTCAACTAAAGTGTGTTTCTGTATTTCTGTCTCTTGGCTCGTGCTGTGTGCTGCTTGTATGATTTATCACAGCTGCAGAACATAGCAAACCCTGATAGGTCAAATAGTGTCATTCCCACAATAAAAACACAACAGGCCTACTGCTCCTATTTTGTCTCAGACTCAGGGCCATCTATGTACATTACATAGCCCAATGTTTCTCAGTCCGGTCCTCAGGGGCCCACAGACAGTGAGCTGTCTGGGAGAGAGCTGGGAGGGAGCAAAAATGTAGACCGTCTGTGGGTCCCCAAGGACTGGGTTGGGAAACACTTCCATAGTGTGATTTCTTTTAAAGAATTGGTTGACCTTAATCAGCTTTATGTGAAAGATGGCTGACAGGACTTGTTGCTCTGGACCAATATCTATACTGTGTGTGATGGGGATATGTCTGTCTCCGTGTCCACTGCAGGCGAGGTGTGTCACAAGTCCTACACACAGTTCTCCAACCTGTGCCGCCACAAGCGGATGCACGCCGACTGCCGGACACAGATCAAGTGCAAGGACTGCGGCCAGATGTTCAGCACCACATCCTCACTCAACAAGCATCGTCGTTTCTGTGAGGGGAAGAACCATTTTGCCACAGGAGGCCTATTTGCGCAGGGGATGTCACTCCAGGGTGCCGCCGTGCTGGACAAAGCAGGAATTGCTGGGATGACTCACGGCAGCCCTGGATTGACAGACTACTTTGGGACTAACAGACACCACAGCAGCCTGACATTCCCCACGGCTCCCAGCTTTCCCTTTAGCTTCCCTGGCCTTTTCCCCTCTGGACTATACCACCGACCGCCACTCATTCCCAGCACATCCCCAGTGAAGGGGCCGTCAGGTTTGGAACATCCAGGTAACAACCCCTTAATGCCGTCGCTGCAACAATGCCCAGGTGACCGGGACCTGATCAAAGCGCTAGATAAAGAGTCCCCTCTTGAGCCATCTAAGGTCACGAAACTCCAGATGGAGGCATCCTCTGAGCCAAGGTGTGCCGCTAAACTGAGTGACCAATCAGAGAGCAGTGACCTGGATGATGTCAGCACCCCGAGTGGCAGTGATCTGGAGACCACATCTGGCTCAGAACTTGAGAGTGACCTGGAGAGTGACCGAGAAAGGACTCGGGACAATGGCAAAGTGACAAAGAGAAAGTCTGGAAGCCCCCAAACCCTGCCCTTAGTTAATAACAACAACAAGGATTTCATCGGCAACAGCCTCTTTCCACAGACTCTGGATGAGCACACAGCTGTTTCTGGTGCAGTCAATGACTCCATCAAGGCCATTGCTTCAATCGCAGAGAAATACTTTGGATCTACGGGGCTCACTGGACTGCAAGACAAAAAGGTGGGTGCATTGCCATACCCAACCATGTTCCCCCTTCCCTTCTTCCCAGGCTTTTCACCACCCCTCTACCCTTTCCCTGAGAGAGACCTGCACCCATCCACTGTAAAGGGAGAGTCTCAGTCTCCCCCGGCCGAGGCCAAGAAAGGCCAAAGCAGGAACTCTGATTCACCATTTGACCTCACTACCAAACGCAAGGAGGAGAAACTCACTCCCTTTCCATCCTCAAAGCCTGACGTGTCACAAGCAGCCAGTCAGGACCAGCCGCTGGATCTAAGCATGGGCAGCAGGAGTCGCAATGGACCTGGCCTGACAGACCCAGACTCAAAGAAGAGCCACATGTTTGGAGAGCAGAAGGCAGAGACGGAAACACAGAAAGCAGACTCCTCATTGCAACATGCTCGGCCCACGCCCTTCTTCATGGACCCCATTTACAGGTAATGTGAATCCTCAGCACTAAGCTACAGAGGCTAATCGAGGAGGTGGTGTGTGGCTCATCCTCTGTGCCTGTGATCGGAAGGTTTCAAACACAGCCTCAGCAGAATAGTCCCATGTCTGTGGGCCCTTGAGGAAGGCCCTTAACCCCCAGCTCTGCAGGCGCCATAGGTGAATGCCCATTGCTTTGAATTTCCCCACAGAGATCAATAAAGTATCCTTATTCTTATTATGTTACACTGAATGAAATGATTACATTCTGCATTTTTCACGAAATATCACACTGAAGAGTGTGTTCTTGTGTTGTTACTTGCCAATAAGAGCTAACAGAATTCTAATATTAGCAGGGTTGAAAAGAGGAAGATCAGTGATCCGTTTGAGGCCCTCAAGGAGAAGTACATGCGGCCAGGTCCCGGATTCCTCTTTCACCCCCAGGTACGTGGCGAGCTCCATCACTGGCGTCATTCTTCCCAGACGAAATCAAGTTTCAGTTGCTCCTAAAGACCCTATGGAAATTTCAAGGCAATTCAACTAGATTAGACTGAAGAAAAACAGTTTAGAGAAGGAAGTTTGGACAGATGTGGATACTTGGTATTATACCTTTTTCAGTTCTGTCTCTTCAATCACAGAATACTGTGAAGTTTTCAAAAAAGCACCTTTAATGACCTGGTCCTCTCTCATGTGGAATCATCGTAAATTGTGCCCATCTGAATGTGTTTGTGACTGGATTAGAGAATCAGAAACGGAGACGATATGGTGACATATTGGTGGCATCCCCTGGCGAGCCCAGTCACGCTTCTGTACAGTGATTAATTTGTATAGATGTACAGGTCACTTTAGAACAAGGAGGAAAGACAATTTTAACTTTTAAGATGAAATAGGAGAAGAGAAGAAATTGAGGTAGAGAATTATAGATTAGGGGCCGTCATACTGAGCGACCTGCCACTCATTTACGAAGTTCTGGTAAATGGACTGCATTTATATAGCGCTTTTCTACTCCTACGAGTACTCAAAGCACTTCACAATACATGCCTCATATTCACCCGTCCACACACACATTCATACACCGGTGGTGGAGGCTGCCATGCAAGGTGCCAACCTGCACACCGGGAGCAATTTGGGGTTCAGTGTCTTGCTCAAGGACACTTTGATGGGGTCAGGAGGAACCAGGGCTCTAATCTGCAACCCTCTGGTTACCGAGCGATAGCACTACCTCCTGCACCACCATCATCCCCAAGTGGTGGTGTGTGAGATGAAATACTGGAACACAGCATTTTTATGGTGGCTCTTAGAAACCATTACATCAGGTTCCTGTAAGGGTTAGAGTTAACATTTTGTCTGTTATCTCTGCATATTCTCACAGAGCATAAGAACAGAAAAATAAACATTTCAGCCTGGGGTGAGTTTTCCGAAGCCTTCCTAATGCTACGTCATTTGTAAGTTCTATATTAAAGGATAGAACTTACAAATGACGTAGCGTTAAGGAGGCTTTGGGAAACTCACCCCTGATCAGGACAGGTATGGGCTGCTAGCCCCTCCTGAAACTCCACCATATAATATGTTTGCTATAAATGCAGGTTAATTCTGACTATTGTTTGTCTTTGTTCTACTTCCAGTTTCGTATGCCCGACCAGAGAACATGGGTAAGTTGCTTTGAGCATAGAGATCTTGCTCATGTGCTTCAGAATTAAAACTGTACAGCTATGTCTGCAAATAAGTAATGCATGACCTCTGATAGGGTGATGCAATATTTGATATGTATTACTTCATTGCATCAAGAACTTTTAAGGTGTATAACAGCTAAAACTGAGACCAATGCATTAATAGCAGGTGTGTCCAGTCTTTTGATTGGTACTGTACTTTGAAAATGAGGAATTGTATAGTGAAATATATATTACATGTGTGTGAGTCAATTTATATGCAATATATAGTACATGTGCAGTAGAAACCCTTCAGTCCCTTTAAAACAAAAGGAGAATACTGTACGTAATACAAAGAGGAAGGAGAAGAGCGGAACAAAAAGAGAGGAGAAGCAGGGAAGGTGCTACACAGAGGAGAAATGACTGTGGTTGCCACCTGTATGCTGGTGTTCTGTTAGAACTGGCCTGGTGTGCCATATATATATATATATATATATATATATATATATATATACACACACACACACACACACACACACACACAGACGCTCATCTGCTCACGAATGAGATACATTCCGAACGGCCGTTCATAACTTGAAATGTTCGTAAGTCATTATTCAACATCATTTTAAGTTTATACACAAGTACAAACAACTAGGATATCCACGTTACACTGCTGCACGGCGGGAGTAGCGGCCAGATGTACTAGGCGGAACTGGTGCGCAGAAAAAAAAAATTATGTTGCGGACAGGAAATGGGAGCCCGAAGGAACACAATTTGGACTTACAGTCCTCTTCATTCGTGTGTCTGAAAGTTCGTAAGTTGTAAAGGAGTGCATATATATATATATATATATATATATATATATATATATATATATATATACACACACACACACTATACACACAAACACTCCAAATAAATATGCTTATGTATTGGCAATTCTATTCTGAATGCACTTTAAGTGACCTAGACGAAAAAAAGCTTTGCAACTTTCATTCATTACATTGTCAAGTAGACTTCATGTGCACTTCTCACATAATCAAATGCAGCTGAGAATAAAACCGCTCTACAACTGACCCTCATTAGTGTACATACATATGTTCGCCAATTTGAAAACTGTCCTGTAGTAAAAAGACAAGATCATGAACAAATTTTTGAAAAGGAACATTTCAGAAAAAATGCTTTATCCTGAACCAACAACCTACTGCAATAGGGAGGAAAAAATAAAGCAAACGTACAGTACAGTGATGATTATCTGAAATATGGATTCACATTCCTGTTGATTAGCAATTAATCAATGGTGTGCCCTGGGATAATTACTTTATAAAAGTGTGCCGTGGAAAAAATGGCTGGGAAACACTGGTTTAGGCAAGAATATTGTTTCCATACATACACTGCCAGTCAAAGGGTTTTGAATATTTTAACTTTGTCGTGATTTATTATACTTTAAGAACAATCAGTTCCACTTGCAAAACAAAGGTCCAAGACTGCAAGTAATACTACAAATGACAAATACTGCAATGTAACAAATAGCCCAAGACTTCTTCAAATAGGCACCTTTCACACTCAGTGTACTGTATTATTCTCAGTGTATTTTTCTGAAACTCTGCTGAAGAAGGGCCCCCAAATGATACAAACTAGTTGGCCCTGTAGCCTTGACCTTTCAATCCTTTTATCCCAGACTAGCCCAATGGGGTTAAGGTCAGGTGACTGTGCAAACCTGGCCGTCACTTTCACAGGTCACTGTGCCGGCCTGGCTGTCACTTTCACAGGTCACTGTGCAGGCCAGGCTATCACTTTCCCTGTTCCTTCATCTTCCTTCTTCAGATGGTTTGGCCAAGGATATTTCAATGAGCACATGCTAAAATATGGGTTTTTGAAAAGCATTTCACCATCAGTGTAGATTTGTAAATAAGTATAGTATAATAACCCCTTTTAATGGAGACTCTGAGGCCAATACCGCTCTTCCACCACCTCACATGGTGGAGGAACAGAGGGGTCAAACTCATTATGTTTATCAGTGTCACAGACATGGCACTGAAGAATGACGGAATGAGCACTCTGATGACTGCTGTAGATAATGGAGCCTGCTGATAACATTAATAGTATTTGCTTTTTTGGGAGGGAAGCTAAACGAAAGGGTGGAAATGTGGCCCTGCTCCGCATCACTTCCATGGTAATGGCCTCTCAAGACAGGAGTAGGAGGTGGAGTGCTGTGTTCTAATTGTCTCTTTGGAAATTAAGGGGTAATAGTGTTTTTTCAGTGAAGGGGGTTCCTATTTCAGACATCTGGTTCCAGATAAAATCAACAATGCATCTTGCTAATTTCCCAACACTCAGCCTCACTGTCATTTAAAGAAAGCCAATCAGCAACTCAGTCTGCTGAGACACCGGAACATAAACCTGCAGTTAACCAGAGTGCCTGGACATATACTTGTGCAAATGCTTATTTGTGTCTCAATCCCTACCTGCCTATTACTGCATGGCCCTAAGTAAAAACCCTATATTTTAAAACAAGTTGTTAAGCATATCACAGCATATCCTACACCAACAATGTATAGATAAATTGATTCTTTATTTTAGTTTGATTTAGAAAAAAAGATAATACATAATTTGACATAAGTCCAGTGATAAGAAATAATTTGATATTGATATTCTTTACCAACAGGGCAGAAAATTGATTTAGTGACCTAGGCTCATGATGAATAAAGGTGCTTAGGGCTGCAGAAAATCCATTCTCTCATGGCATGTGGAACAGTGGGAGTAACATCACTGTTTTGTAAAGATGAACAGAACAACCAGCAGAAGTTTGCTAGTCACAGAAGCAAGTAAAGCAGTTAATAAAGGAGCTGAACAGCGAACACGTGAAAGGCTCATTGCTTCGGCCAGGAGTTACAGTGTCAGGTCTCCAGCACACTGAGGACAGCTGACAGGTTTAATACTGCTAATGTTTGCATGAATAATGGCATATACCGAAAAGCAGAAACAAACTGTATTTTACTCAAGTCCATAAAGAGGGCAATGAAACATATATTGCATGTTTTTAAGAAATATGAAAGCTTTTCATTTTGATCTAGATAGCTATAATGCTCCAGTGCAGAAACAGTCTGATTCATGGTCCTGGCACCAGCTTAATCACCGCCTCACAATCAAATGGAGTTGACACACCACATCCTCTGTGGGCACTAGTGCAAGCTCTCGGCTGCTGGGTTTTGACCGTCAAGGCAGTCAGGAACTTTACACTCCACTGTCATTTCTAATCAGCTTCTCCTCGCTGGGGTTATCAGTCATGGATCAGATTTCCTTCCCAGCCTCTTGCGTGGCCCGTGGAGAAGCACAGGGGGCTGGGGGGGGAGCGGTGATGGAGTGCCGTGCCGGAAGCGACGGCCCGGATCACTGCTGATTTGTGACTGTATTAAACAAGAAAATACAGAAAAAAAATTCAATACACACAAAGTAATGCAAATTTGTATCCTCTAGAAAAGAATGTAGGTAGAGCTGAGTAGAGCTGATGGGGGACTGGCAGGCTGGGGCCTTCAGGGAGGCTCCCCTCTCCGCCCAGTGATATCATTATTACCCGTGTCTGGCCCTTGATCAGTAATGTCAACATCTTTCATATTGACGAATGTGCTGTCCGCTCGCATTGTGCAGGGAATGGTTTACAGCCCGCCAGTGATTATGAATCACACCGCAGCTCAGCCACTCTCCACCCAGCACCGGGCACATTCCCCCTTGACAACTATATGCATCTACACTTTCCTCAGAGGACTCTCACCATATTGGATGAAAGACTTTTAGCAAATTGGCAGTGCTTTCTGTGGGAGCGTGTGCGTGAACGCGCTGCTTGTGAATAGAAGGGCTCCGTAGTAGCTTCACTGGGCCGTATCAGGCATCAGCCGTAGCAAAAAAGGCTTTCTTCTTACCCCAAAATTTATGAAAATTTATTAACATTTAATGCAGATTTTATTTCACAGTATCTACAAAGGTTACATGTGCAGAGCTATTATGCTGTGCTGTGAAGGCTATAACCACCTTGAGTCAAATTTTTTTTTAAATTATTCAAAAAAAGTTTACCCTCTGAGAGGGCACCAGGCCACAGATTAGTGTCTGCATGAATAATAGGGTTTATACTGTATGTAGTGCCTATCTAAGTCAGAACAAAAGAAAAACAGACAACCATATTACGGCATTCTAGTGTACTCTATAAAGCAGCAAATACACACACGTGAGTATAACTGCACAGGTTAAACAACATAATCATAAACACAGCTGTAAATAGAAGCACAATAGGACCATTTTCCTGCAGAGTATGCTTTTCTTGTTTGTAGCAACCAATTGGACTCTCTTTTCCTTCCAGATGTCAGCCATAGAGAACATGGCAGAGAAACTGGAGACGTTTAACTCCCTCAAACCAGAAGCCGGTGACCTCATGCGTTCTGTCCCATCCGTTTTTGACTTCAGGGCCCCCCCAAGTACTATCCCAGACACCCTGTTGCGTAAGGGCAAGGAACGCTACACATGCAGGTAATGACAGGGTTAATAAAAGACTTAATTAGTGACTTAATTACTTGGGGGCTAAATGGGAGCTGCACTCCAGTCGTGCATAACTCAAGTATTTACACACTGACGTTTTCCTGATCACAAGATTGATATGGTTCATGATCTTGGGGGCTGCACTTTCATGTGTTTCTGTCTGATTTCTGATGAAGTTCCCCACTCATGATCCAGTCGGTCTTTATTCTTTTCCTTCTGGACAATAGGAGTCTAACATGGTGTAGAATACTCATATTCTTTCAATGGGAGCACAACAGAAAAGGTGCAAGTAACTTCATGCATGATTGAAGGATGGTTCACAATTACCCAGAAAAAAAAACAAAATTTGTTCATATTTACATGTATTAATTTCCTGCCATAGCCTTACTCTAATAGTATATTATGGCAACTGAGTGCATTTTGGAAAATCTGCAAAACAATTATGTTCATTATGATTGATCAAACATAATTCTAACACTTAGAATGGATTGTAAATGTTAATTAAAGTGGATCTTCTGAGTACTTATAGTAATTTGTCTGTTACCATGGATGCCCAATATATTCATGACTGAAAGTGCTGTCTATCTTGCAAATTTGTTTATGCCATAAAATTTGCCCTAACTATCAGATACTGTGGAAAGATATTCCCACGCTCTGCTAACCTGACGCGACATCTGAGGACACACACAGGGGAGCAACCATACAGGTACGGTGCTCACAGACAAACACATTCAGACATCATCAATGGCTTTACTTTCATCAGGGATAAACAGTAGGAAAAATGAAAATAAATACTCAAAATTGGTAGGAATATGCTCGCACATTGCCCAACCATTAAAAATATATACTTATTGTAAGCAATGGTATTATCTTTTGTCAAAGCAGTAAAACCACAAAATCTCAAACCAGATTGAGGCCATGTCTATGTGATGCTGGGGAGAAGGGCAGCTTCCTGCACATTCCCCACCTTAAAAGGAGAAATTCAAGCCAGTCCAGCTGCAGTGGAAATCGAGTTTGGGGCTCCCAGTTCACACGTTCAAGGGTTGCACCCCCATGACAGGGCCTCATGCCTCACTCCATAAGCACAAATAAGTTCCTTTTTTTAGTAGTAGAGTAATCCATTAGTATCTACTCAGCACAGAGGTTGTCCCAGAGCATGTTGTCCATGCCTAGGAGAACATTCCCAAACTATTGTGTGTGTTTTTCTATATGGTTAAAAAGCCTGAAACAATTATCATTCTGTTAAATAATTTGCACAATGAAAAATGGTTGTGATAGTCGGGGTGACTAGAGGGGTTTTGAAGTCTGGGGAAGGAAGTTGGGTGAAAAATTGGGGTGATGAGGGCTGTGGGCAATAATCCAGGACCAGCAGTTGGAATAATTATTTTCTGTTTGAGAGAAATCTAAAAGACAAGTACAGTATAATCCCAGGGGAGCCCCATTGACCACAGGGCATAAACATGGATACCTCTGTTGCTGGTGTGATAGACTAAACTACACATGCTGGCAAGGAATTAAAGATCTCTGCTGTTTATTGCAATTTTTGGGGAGATAGCAGGGGTTCCTAAGGGAAAGTCAATTGTGCAAGTTAATTCCAGAAGAAGAAAAGATGTAATCATGGTGTATAATTTTGCATGAAGAAACTTGGCTTTGTGTCTAATTTCAGAGAGTTAGAACAAAATTTGTTGCATGCTTGTTTTGAAAGCAAAGAATGTAATTTCTTTGTCCTGGCTAAAGATGAGAGAAGCCTGTTTTTTTTTACCTTCAGTAGATTTTCCATCATATCTTGAGAAAGCCAAGGAATAAGTCTGTGTCTGTGCTCATTTGTGTGCATACGTGTTGACATGCGGCCATGCATCTGCATTAGCGCTATGATATCACACCTTGACCTCATATCTGTCTACACAGGTGTAAATACTGCGACCGGTCCTTCAGCATTTCATCCAACCTGCAGCGGCACATCCGCAACATCCACAACAAAGAGAAGCCTTTTAAATGTCACCTGTGTGACCGATGCTTTGGCCAGCAAACCAACCTGGATCGCCATCTGAAGAAGCATGAGAACGGGAATCTCTCAGGTAAACGCTGCACTCTGGTGCAACTGCATAATATATGCAGCCTTGCATACTCATAGACTATTCACCATTTCATTAATATTTCATTGTAAACTCACCCTAGCTGCATTTATGCCTAGTCGACTCTTCAACAGTATGTATGTTTGTAATGTGCTACATGCCTCACAAAAGTATTTGCTAAATAAAGGTAATTGTAAATGTAACAGTAGTGTTTGATGGGTAAGATAATTTATATTGCTGCAGATTGGAGCTCAATTTAATTGGATGTGCTAGGTGTATGCAGAGTATGTTAGAGATATATGTCTTACTAAGTCAATCGAATGGTTGAATTGGTGTAGCACATTGTCTCTATATTGCAGTAAAAGAGTCAACCATTTAGTATATTCATTCAGATACATGCGAACACCCACTGTGCAAATTCAAAGGTGAAAATGTGCTACAGCCAGTATCCTGTTTCTTGAAAAACATTTCAGACCCTAGATTTAATATCCTTTTCATTTTGGCAGGCACGGCCATGTCGTCTCCCCAGTCTGAGCTGGACAGTAGCAGTGCCATCCTGGATGACAAAGAGGACTCGTACTTCACTGAAATACGAAACTTCATTGGCAACACGGGCCAAAACCAGCCATCCCCCGAGCAATCAGAGGAAGGGTGAATATCTTCACCTTTAGTGCTTTACAAGAATAAGCAGGAACATACTCTGCAATGCTCTGCAAGAGTTTTAATGTTTTTTGTGAAAAATTATAGCAATACACTACTCATATTTTTGAAACTCTCATGCAGGGGTGGAGTGGTGGCTCTGAGGATAGGGATCTGTGGCAGTAATCGGGAGGCTGCTGGTCTGAATGCCAGGAGTGACACTATTCTGTTGGGCCCTTAAGCAAGACCCTTAACCTACAATTGCTTTATTCAGGGTATGATGTTAATCTACATCCAGCCCTGCAAGCAGGTCCTCCAACTTCCAGTGAAAATCTGGGGGTTGATTGCAGGATTGGCACTCCAGCCACCGGAAAAAAACTCACACTGTTCCGTTCAGAATAGTGTGGTGCCAAGGTATCGGCTGCCACATGGCTGCGCTCAGGTTCTCACCCCTAAGGTGGATTGTCCTGTGGTGCGTGCGGCAACACTGTAATCAGCCTATGCTCCTTACCGCTCTCTCTCATGCTATTCTGTACTATGTGAAACCAGAACGAGTGAGCGAGGAAGCAGAGAAGGGCAAGAGTTCCCATCTCTACTGTTATACAACCTGGGTCAGCCCATGTAGAATAGATTCACAGTTTTCAAATGGCAAGCTCACAGTTGACACAGGCCAGATTTACTGTATTAGTCTGTAGTTTCATTTTGTTTTTGACAGCAGGACACAAACAAATAGATGAGTCTGTAGGATGTGACAAAAATGTTGAGTGCTGAATGAAACTGAATACTCACAGCGTAAGTACTACAACTAACAACATTTCCAAAGAAACATACACTGACAAACAAAGGGGTAAAAAAGCAAACATATGTGTAATCACACTTAGACGGCTCCCGCCTCATGGTACCAACACGGCAAGGACACTCACACATGCAAAAACACATCAAACCAACCTCTCCATTGCAAGCATGCAGGGCTGGAGGCTGAATGAGGAGATGATTATTCTCAAACATCACAGAGTCACGCAGCTTGAACATTATTCTGCAGCCTTTATTAATTAGCCTGTTGCCTGAGGAGGTTTGGTGTAAATACAAGGCAGTCATTGCTTATGACATTCGGGATAATTACCACATATGGATACATCCAGAAATATTGACTTTAGGCCATACATACATATATTTTATTACTATTATATATTTTATTTATGTGTATTTTCATTATTACACACTGATGAAACAGTGATGAACTTAGCAGGCCAAACATTTTACCTTGTTGCATAGTTTAATTCTTAAAGTGAAAAATCTTTTCTTTTGATTAAAAAAACTTTGGAATTGAGAAATCATGCAAGAAAAGCAAGTGCCAAAAGTGCTTCAAATGAAATGGTTATGGAGGAGGATACAGCCCTGGTCTCCACTGCTGAAGCAGCAGCTCTGTCTGCCCACATCTGGCTACAACATGTCTCTCAACAGGAAGTGGGCAGAGCACCTGGGTCGCGGGGGTGTCGTGTTTCCTCTCACAGCCCTGCTCTCTTGATGACTTTTGATAGATATTTTATCCCCAGCAAATTACCACATTTGAAAAGCATAATTAGCAAATCTGTTTTCTTAATCATGGAACGCTCAGCTGGTCCAGCCCCCATCTTCAGCATCTTCTCCTCAAAAACACAACCTGGCAGAATTACCATGCTGGCAGCCCTTAACTTTTGCCAGTCCATTTCTCAAGTCTCTCCAAGTACTGAAACAACTGTGTTTTGATAAAAAATGTGATAGAGATTTCAAATGTGCCACTTTATTCCTACACTGTGTTGGCGAATCATTGCAAGCTCAGTGTTTCTTTTACAAATAGATCATTTCCTGGTTTGATGGGTTCTCTAATCTGAGGGAGGACTTTGTTGATATTTTGATTTTATTCTCCCGTGGCGGGGGTGTGTTGGGGCTGGGGCAGGACTCTTTGTGTTAGCAATGGCATTTTTGGGAGCTGACGAGAGACGCCATGGACCATAATTAGTGAATCAGTTTTAGTGTGGTTCCAGATGATTTAACAAATGGTGGTTTCCTGCGGTGCTGAGACACTGGACAGATTAAGTCACTGTGAGTTTTGATAGCTGGCCTTTTTTCCCTCCGGGACTGAGAAAGGGCCGCTTGGCAGCACCCTCATAACTCTTCTACCAAATGGGGCTGTCAGCTAAATATTTTGCCTATTAGATGACTACAAGATAGTAGGAAAATAAACAAGACAAAAACCCAAGCGAAGGAGCTAAGTGCCGGAGGACAGGGTGTATGGGTCCAGTGCCTAGAAGGCCTTTGAATCTTAATGACAAATGGGATTACCGCTTCTCTACAGCTGCCGTGTTTTTCTCTTCCTCTTCTCATTGTTTTTGGGGCGAGACGCACTGTGTTGCAAGTGCAAGTGCATAGTGTTTCAAGGAAAGCATGGACAGTTGAATTAAACAGGGGTCAGACAGAGAATTAGGATATTACACGATAGGTTTGTGTGCTTGAGATGCATGTTAAAAGTTGATATGATATTACTTATTACATTTTAAAACTTTTCTTATTTGCTCTGTTTATTGGAGGATGAACAGTAGTCAGTTTGAGGAAGAGAAGGCTCTGCTGCCCAGCCAGGAATCACATGACCTGGAGGAAGAGGAAGAACAAGAGCTGGACATCAATGAAGAGGAGAGGCGACATGATGATGCCGGGGGCAAGTCTGCGAATGAAGCCTTCCCCAGCCGCCTGGAAGATGACGTCATTCACAGCGAGACTGAATTTGAAGAAGCAAATGAAAATGACCTGAATTTCAAGGCCTTCCCAAGGAGGTACCTGATAAATATCTAAGGCAGAGCATAAAACACACATGCAATTAGTTTTTTATTTGCACTCCTGAACATCCATCAGTCCATCCATCCCTCTTCCAAGGTATCCAATATGGTGAGCCAGTCCCAGGCAGCATAGGACACTAGGCGGGGCACCACTTCAGATGGGATTTCAGCCCTTTTTAGGGCACACAATGCAATATGTAATAACACTATTCAACAAAATTAAACTCATTTTCATTACATAATGCGGTGTTATTATATAATGTGTTGTTACACACTCTGCCCTACAGTCATAAGACATTGTAGCAGTTTCAAATGAGTCATGATGGATCTTCCAGGTTTGAGGATGATGAAGACCAGAGCGGGTTCTCAGCACTGGAGCATATTCGCCACATTTCTAACATGCGCAAGATAGAGGAGAGTGAGTTCAGCGACAGCGATGCTGGCTTCATGAGCAGCCACCTCCCAGATGCCATTAAACCGCCACTCTACAGGAAATCCAAGTCCCAGGTAATCCGTTGCCTTCCTTTTAACATCTCAAGCTTTGTTATCATCATCTGTGTGTCCCATAGTTACAAAGACCTGTGTAACTACCATGATGCGTGGTCATTCTGATGATGGCTATGTCTGCACATATTTGTGTCTTATTGCCTGAACGTCTGGACCTCTGTTTCTTTTCTGTTCACGGCCACTCTCTCCTCCTCCTCCTGCTAAGGCATATGCCATGATGCTGTCTCTGGCTGACAAGGACACCCTCCATGCAGCCTCTCATGCTTCATCCAACGTGTGGCACAACCTGGCCAGGGCAGCTGCGGAGTCCAGCCAAGTATGATAGACCCACATGCCGACCCGACCCAACCAGCTGCACTGGAGCGAACCATCTAACAGACCACTGAACAGAAAGCCTTACACATTCGTATGGTGACCTCTCCCTCTGTAAACTGAAATCAAATAAAAAAACAAAAGAACAAAATATATTGTGACCTTAAATGATTGCATAAAAAATGGTGAAGGTAATCGTGAAAAATGATAATAATAAGTAATTATTATTTATTGTGTTTAGTTGTAATGTTTTGCACAGCAAAGGCAGCTGGTAATTCAAAAGAGCAATGTAATGTTAATGTAACATTGACATAACATTGCTAATTAGTATAAGTGCAAAGATAGGGTCTGTCAAGCTGAGAGTCTGCTTCAAAACTGAAATTTTAACGTTAACCTGAGCACTCCTTCTACTATTTGTGTATATTTCCCCCTACATAAGGGCAGGGGTCCAGGGGGATCCATTACTGTGTAGCTTTTAAAATGCATTAGAGTGCGGCCCCCTTTAACGTCAGCAGAAGTACAGCTTTTGTAACACATTTGCAAAAGCTCAGTTAGCAGAATGAATGAAATAAACAAACAAACAAATAAGTAAATAAAACTAAATAATAGATACATTTAAAACAACTTTATCAGAACACCAATTTAAAAAATCCTTTAAACTCATTCCACTGTATGTTGTAACAATAAGAGCCAGTACCACCGATATCTGCACAATCAAATCATTGTCTGAAATTGTCTAGAAATTGTTCAGTACTGCACTCTTTCCCAGCATACTTAACTTTCTGTGAACTGAAAAAACTTTTTAGTGGAATCAACTTTTTTAAAGAAAAAGTAGCAAGTACTAATGTTTATTACCATTTAGTGAATGGCACCTATAAATCCAACCTCCTCCTATTCAGTCAATGCAACCACTAGATAACCTGAATGCTAGTCGTTGGCCACCCTGTTTTCGTGTCTCTTGTCATTTTTAGACAATCATGTTTTACTTTCATTGTTGTTGATGTTATTGTTGTGTATGTTGGGAATTGTATTTATTTCTTGCTGACCTGTAGTTTGTTTACGGAATAGCACTGCTCTTATCCCAGTGGACAGGAGATTCCTCCCTGGATTTGATTCAGAAATTAATGGGTTTGTAGATTTACAATACCATGAAAGCTGGGTAGTGTTACATATGGCATTCCCTCTGTATTCCTCTAATGAAAATGGTTGATGAAATAGATATTACTTAGGTTTTTTGTAAGACAATTTATTGATTCAACTGTAAAAAAAGAGTTAAAAATAGTAGGTATTATTTCCTCATAACCGCATGATTGGTCTGGATATAACTGTATCTGATATTTTTTACGGTTGTCTGCAAGCTTGTGTGATGTTCAGTCCATGTTAATCCTTTGTGCCAAACCTATTATAAATAACAGATTATATTCACAGATTTTCTTTCCCATGTTGAGGGACCAGATTTTTTCCTGTTTTGTTGTTGTTTATAATATCATTTTAAAAGTAATCAGCAAGTTGAGGTACTTTGTTTTAATGCTTTCTACAATGTAACTGTATGCATTTCAATACAATACTATGGGAGGAGCAACTAAAAAAATAAAGGACTACATTGTGGGAAGACTGGCTATGCCGCCTCACTGCTACATGGCTCTCTGTTCTTGGACTGTCTTGCTGTCTTTTCCACGACCACATCATTCAGCTTCTTTGTGAAATCAACGAAGTGCCGCTTGGTATTTAGCATAAGCCCACAAGTTGGAGAGGGAGACTCAATGTGACATTTGGAGTGGGGGCAGGAATATGCCTTTATTCAAGGCCGGCCACAGTGCCGCTGGGCCATGATGGATGAGGTAGGGAGGCACGATGACCCAGCTCATCGCTCATGGGCTCAATAAGGTTCAGATCTTGTGGGCCTCTCTGCCAAAGCCTCCTTCTTATCATTGCTCATGCATGTGGGCAGACATTGTCCTAAAAAACTGAATCTATTGTCAGTAAGATTTTGGGGGGAGGCGTAGTGTGTGTGTGGGGGGGTTCAGAAATTTACCCATACTGCTACTGTTTTAAAATTCTTATTGATGTTTAAGTTCTCACCAGCACTACTGTCACACTGCCCACTTGTGCTCAACTCTGCAGGGAGCTCAGCTTTGATGAGGTCAGCAAAGGTCACACTATACTGATGAGGTCACCCAGACTAAGCAGCACTTGATTAGGGCTATCTATAAACAATGTGCTTTCTTACAGTGAAATCCACAACTTAAGGTTGCAGCCTCTTACAGGTGTAAGGTCTCCTATAAGTATGCCCTGTGTATGTGGGCAGGCTTGGCATTTTCATTATCAAACTCCGTAATGGCAGACGTGTAAATCTGTAAATCTTTTACCTTTTTTTCTAAAAGTGGCAGCCCGCCTGTATTGTGCTGGATATAATTCATATTACTTTATTGGAAAACTTAAGATGCAAATGTTTTTAGTTCCACCAAGGATAATGTACAAAGCAAGAATTTTCACAGTTTCTGGTTACTTTATAGGTGAGTATCAGAGACTGGGAGCTTACATGGGGAGGGATCAGGATCCCATATCTGCCATTGTGTCAATTACATTACAAAATTATAATCAATAACATTCAGGAGCTGGCAGCAGAATCTGTACGTTGATGTACAGCGGAATCAATTAGCCTCATTACCTCTGTGACCCCCCACGGGGCTTCAGAGCTCGGCCCATAAGTGTTAACAGTGAATTTTAGATTTGTGGAACTGATTATTTTAATAGGAGGGTGTTGTAGAGGCAGTCAAAGAGACAGAGCACAAAGCCCTTTGAGGGGGCCAGAGTCCCTTAGCATGGTGGCACTCAGCAAATACGGCATCTGGCAGGGTCTCACCACAACGCATGTTACACTGTTCCAGCTTCTATGGTGCAGCCTGCAGTAGAGCATACATCACAGCCTGCCACACCACTGCCCTGTTAATCAGAAAGAAGGGCTCCAGCAGCTGCCACTGCACACAATTGGCTTGGCATACATTCACAGTCAGATGTCAAGGGACCTAGGCTAAGGCAGCTGGGGGGGGGGGGCAGCTGGGACACTGCAGAAATGCATCTTGTCACTTGAACAGACCAATAGAGGGTGTAGGGGTATTGCAACATGGTTTTGAATACATTTTCTCCTGATTTTAACTTCTTAGCTGAAATTCCTAGTTATGTAATCACAGTCCAATCAGGGCTTCAATCAAATTGAAATCTGGGCAAAGTGGAACTGGAGGCATCTATGAACAGTACTTCAGACAAAGTATTATTATCTACTCTGAGGACATTCTTATTAAGTTTTATGCCACAGTATAATAACTATAAGTGGCTAACCTGTTTTATGTATTTGTTTGCTGTTTATGTAATGTTTTCTACTGAGTTTTAAGTTTGTATTTCTTTTTCTGTTTTACTTTGTTTCATTATTGTACAGCGCTTTGTGACTATTTGTCTGAGAAAAGTGCTTTATAAATAAATTACTTACTTACTTACTTACTTACTAACCTAACAGTTTCAGTCAGTGCTGAAAAATAACCTTTCATTCACAATGTTACCTGGTTATTAAAGGACATTTTATGATTACAAATATAGCTAAATAGAAAAGCAGGCGGACATCACCAGATAAGCTAATTATACCAATATTAATAACATATTGTATTATAAAGTGTAGTTGACCCATCCAGAGCTGCACTGACATGGGATGTGATATTTCATCAATACTACGTCAAAACAAACATGGTTTTCAGCAAGATTTTAATTAATGTAAAAATGTAGTGTTTGCAGTATTTTCCATTAAACTGTATGCTGGTGTTCAAATTAAGTTTCTACTATGCAGGTGTACTACATAGAATTCTACTGTGAATTGCCTGTTAAAAAACACTAAACTTTCATTTTTTAAATGGAGATAATGTAGTCTTGGGTTATTGTTGTTAAATATATATTTTTGTATTTTAAATAATACTTATTCAGGACATGCTCACACTTCCTCTCTGTGTCGGCGCCATCTAATGGAGAAAAAGAAACGAATCCAGGTTGTTCAGAATAACTTAATAGAAGACAAGTCAAAAACCTTTGTATGTCTGTTGAGTGGTGCACGTTGGTTTACATCGAAACCACAAAAGCACTACTAAAATCACAATGATGTTCCAAGATTCACATAATGCAAAAAAGACTAATGCTAAATATCAAATGTAGAGCCAAATATATTAATTAAAGGAAATAATTTCAAAGCCCACTCTCAAAAAACCCCTCTGTTCTACATTTGTAGCTAAAAGCCCTTACAGTTTACAAAAACAGAGTGTGGGAGAGTTCCTAGATACTTATCTGTTTGCTGGATCGGTATTTCAATTTGTTTTCCAAGGCAACAACCTAACCAATGGTGCGAGACTCGTAAAATGATTTTCCTGTGTTTTATCGGATCAACACTCACTGTCTGTGTGAGTTCAAAAGGCTCTCTTGTCAGATCAGAGTTAACTGAGAGGGTAAAAGTTGCTAATTTGAGGTATGACACTGAGGTGATAGAAATGCTTGGCTGAAAGCACACGACTAATTACACCCAAAACTCCCAGATTGAATCTGTCTTCTCTGTTAGCACTGTATTCTGGTACCTCCCACTAACCCAAGGCTGTGTGATCACACAAATATACAGTATTGTGCAAAAGACATAGGCAGTCAGAGGAAATGTTTAAAGCTATTTATCTGAGTGGTAAATGTATGTTTGCTCAGAACAAAAACACCATTTAACATTAAAGCACATGCAGATTAACAGTAAGACAATAAAAACTAAAAGGAATATATTCTGTTCTCCAAAAAACACAGTTCCCAAACCTCTCCTCAGGAGTACCTCAGTCATACCATATATTTTTTAAATTTCACCACCAGCTCACTTAATTAATTAATTAATTTAGTTTAAAAAAAAGTCAGCCAATGACATATTCATTAGCCTCCTGAGGGGTGCTAGAGATCAAATCAAAAAATAAATTGGTGTGTTGGGTGGTTGTCAAAAACACTGAGGTGACTTTAGGAGAGGTTTTGAAATGGTTAAGCTGACATGCTTTGACAGACATAGTTGTACACCAACATGAATTACTTAAACATCATTTTCTTTGACTAAGACTTTTGCACAGTACTGTACCTCTGACTCTCCCGTACTGTTAGAAGTCTGTATGAAAGTTTTTGATGACACAGACATGAGGAAGAATGGTTTGACCACCCAGCACTGTGGGATAGATGGCTTCTCTGGAGTTGTTTGACTAGAAACAGGTGTGTGTTGTCTGAGGATGAAGGCCTTAGTGATAAACATTATTGCAGAACATCTGTTGCTTGTCACAATACAAGGCTGGTGTGTAAGGCTGCCATCCATCAGCCCTGCCCTGTGTGCTCATTTCAGCTCAGTCATCAGTCACCGAGGATCCTGTCACCAGACAGGCCGAACACAGGCACCTGTACAGAGGCCTGGCCACACTTAGCAACACAGGAGTAATACCTCAGAGATGGCCTGTCTAGTGCAAGTACCAATCACCAGCTTGACAGGTGTCCCTGGATAACTGCTTCTTTCCATCTTGACCTCTCTTTCAGTTCTTGTTCTACTACGGACCCTGATTCTTCATTCTTCCATCAAAGCTCTGTGACTGGCTGCTTTTGCCCCCACTTTCTCCCATAACCCCATACCCTTAAACAGGTACATTGTACATTGACCTCCTGCTAATGAAAGTTCCTCAGTTTGGAGTGTTTGTGCTCCTGCTCTGATAAAACGCAATGCCACCAATAAAGATCTTTCTTCTACCCCTTTGTTTAACCATCACATATGTTAGAATGACAAAGAAACCTTTATTTTCAAAACACATTTTATTATGTTTTTTTTAATAATAGCACATCTTTTTCTTTTTTACATACTGAAAAGATGTACATTTACCATATAGTTCCATAAAAAAAAGAAAAACTTTTAGAATATTAGAAATTTCAATTCTATTCTCCAGCATTTCGGTTATTTGCATCAATGGAAACAGCCTTCATCAAAAAAGGAAATTTACATTATCAAAATGCATTATACACACAAGGACATGGATGGTATGCATAAACTTGGCAAGAGAGGTCATCTCCACACTGCATTCGTACTATGTGTATATGAATGTTGCAGCCATTGGAGCACTTTGACTGGATGTGTGAATTGTCTTGTGAATCCTATGGTAACATATCTATATCTATTTTTTGCGGTAGCTTGCATATTGTGTTGTTCTCTGGGTAGACGTATTCTTTTGCATCCCCCCCCATAACTCCATTTGGTTTAGCGCTGAGAGTTGATCCCATGAGCTATTGCACAGAACTGCAAACGTAAGAGTCTGGGTCAAACAGTCTTTTACTGCATGGAGCTCTGGGTACGTATGGGTTCAGGAGTGGGTTTTTCCTCTAGGAGAGAGCAGAAAAACACACTCACATTCAGATAGAAAGCACATGTGCTGGGCTGCAGAGTCTCTTGTGAGTTCAGCATTGAGAAACTGAGCTCCCTTCAGCCTTGACACCCTACGGTGCTACAGTTAAAATAACCGTCAGCAACTGGACTTATAATTGAGAAAGACATGAAGACTGACACAAAAATAAACAAAACCTGCCTCGACATTTTGAACCTGCGGCTGTCAATCAGAAACAGCCTGGGCTGGAGCAGAGGTATCTATTCTGCTGACAAGCTGAACCGGGTTACCTTCTGTACAGGTGGGCCCTATCCAGGGATGAGGGCACATGCAGTGGCCAGTCGAGGAATGACAATGGGCCTGGTGGCTACACTGGCACTGCAAAGAGCAGTCGGGTCCAAAGCGACCCTCTCCACAATCTGTGGGAAATACGATCAATTTGAAGTTCTTTTTACACACAAGATGAATTTGGCCAAGCCTGAATTAAGCCTGAATGAATTTGAGAATTTTCAAAATCACCCTGTTTTAAACTAAGAATACATTTAGAATGTAGAATTACACAACAATGGGTGGCACCTTTTTCACACTGATTTCCGGTCTTCCCAGGAGGACAGAGACACTGTCCAGTGGCTGGATGGCAAGGGGCCCTACCCTCACAGTCGCAGTGGTGTTGACAACCCTGTCCAAATGTGCCTTCTTTGCACACTGTAGAAACAGGGGTTAGCAGAGCACCTTCCGCACATTGTCTCCTGATGCATATGACATAAGGGGGCACTAAGCATACCAGAGGGCTTGTATACGTGACTCTGGAAATGTCTGTTTCTGATCAAATGGCAGAGTATGGTCTCTGTGCAAGACTGGAGAAGAAAACCTATTACATACCTTAGAAACCACCCAGTCTAAGTGCATAGATGGAATAGTGCTTTCTTTGTATTCCATACCATGAAATGCCATCTCTTAACTGTATATGTAGTGTTTTACTGTACAGTGTTATTCAATATAATGCAGAGTTGAACCAACTCACTTGTCTGACAGTAGGATCCAATGAAGCCTGGCTGGCACAAACAATGTCCAGTCACATGATCACATGATTGACTGTTTGTGCAGTTGCATTGCTGGATGCAATTTTGTCCAAAAAATCCAGGTGGGCACCCTAGGAAATGACCCCAGCATTGGGAAAATGGGAAAATAATCAGAACAAACAGGGTCATTTCATAGAACAATATTTCACAGATAACTGTCCCTAAGATCCAAGGACTGTTGAAGGGTATGGGCCTGAAATGCACGCACTATGTTGACAGGAGTTGCCATAGTAGCCAGCTTTGCAGTGGCAGAGCCCGGTAAAGCGGTCACAATCTGCATCGTTTTGGCACTGGCAGTACAGTTCACAGGTGGGCCCATATTTCCCAGGGACGCAACCTAAAACATAGAAACATTCTGTAACACACATGGAAACATACTAAAATATGTCATGCTGAAAAAGAAAGGCCTATCTACATTGTTACCCATCCATCCATCCCTCAGCACTACCCACCTTTCTCACAGCGATTCCCAGTCCATCCCAGCCCACACCTGCATGCCCCATCATGTGGGTCACAGGCAGCACCATTCCGACATGCACACATATTCAAGCACTGTGCTCCATAACGCCCCCTAGGACAAGCTATGGCAATGAGAAGGCAAAGTCAGGTATTTCAGATTAACATTCATTTCCATGTTTCCATGCAAATCACACCTGCACATGAGCCCACATAGATGAAAAACATTCATAACTGCAATGCAAAGTGGACCAATTATAAAAAAGGCTGCTAGAACAATGGCATTGTATTCCCTGGACAGCCCTGTCACTTGTTCCACCCACCTAATCTGTATTCACCAACCTATACTGGATGGATCACATGGAAATTCATCCACCCATCCATCCCGCTTATCCTACTGGATTGTGGGGGGTCTGGAGCCTATCCTGGAAGCAACGGGCACAAGGCAGGGAACAACCCTGGATGGGGGGGGGGACAGCCCATCGCAGGGCACACTTGCACACCATTCACACCTGAGGGCAATTTAGCAACTCCAATCAGCCTCTGTATGTCTTTGGACTGTGGGGGGGAACCGGAGTACCCGGAGAAAACCCCATGACGACATGGGGAGAACATGCAAATTCCACACACATGTGACCCAACCGGAGACTCGAACCCAGGTCCCAGAGGTGTGAGGCAACAGTGCTAACCACTGCACCACCATGCCGCCACTCACATGGAAATGTTAAAGCTAATAAATGTGTCTTTACCCATATGTTCTGAGCCCTTGTGAAATGTAGGTTTCATTACACTTATATGACACATCTTGAACCAAGATGGCAGGGTGTTAGGTTACGGTGGCCATACTGGATCCTAAATATCATTCAGTATATGTATGTTTGGAATGCGTGTCATCTTATGTTTTTGTGTTTACCAGAAAAACTGGTAAACATGTTAACATCTGACAATTTATTAAATTTCAGTGCATCCAGATGGAGACACACTGGAGCACCTGCACCGCTTAGGGTTTCTTTCGGTCTTGCACTGCAAGCCCTCGATATCGCCTGGGAGGAGCGACCACCTGAAAACTTTTCAAAAGCGGTGCACTGGAAAGTGGAAGCGCTGCAAGCGAACCAGCATCCATGCTAAGTTCAGGCTAATCCTAGCCAGCCAGCGCTTCCATCCTTCCTCCTCCTCTGTGTGCGTTCCATCGACAATAGGGTGACCCTTATAAATGGAAAAAAATTTTATTTATAAAAGTTGACTCTCACTCTCTAGAATTTTGCTACACCACTGAAGATATTTTTCTGTGAAACATTTTTGGATTTGGATAATATTTAGGGTATGCTCAAGTCATTTGCATTTTATAATGACTTCAAGCTTACCAACTGTGAACAAAAAGGCTTGGCAGAACTCTGTATACTTGACGTTCAGGTCTACCTGAAATCGTGGTTCTTATCTCGGCTGCCAACCAATGCTCCAGCAAATGATCTGAATCTGCTTAAAATACTGTTTTCACTCGACTCACAAGCAGCAAAAGGTGCCCTAAAGAAGCTCTGTGGCCACCTCTGGTACAGTACCTTAGTGAAGAGTTGATTGCACTGTCATTCTTTGACAGAGATGTTCATGTTCTACAGAAAAAGTTGATGGTTTCAGCGCTTCAAAAACCAGCATCCAAAGATCCACCAAAACGGATAACAGTTGACCAAGATCAATGAAATGCAGTTACATGACTTCGTGACAGTGAATTCAAAGACGTTTTTTGACCTGTTGTCAATTCCAAACTCATTTCTTCAAACTGATCCTGAGACTTTGATAACCAATGATGACTATTTGAAGGCTGAGGAAACTGTATGGGCGCTGCAGGTGACAAATGTCACTGCAGAGAGAGGCATCGCTATGATACAGGAATACAGTGGTTTACTGACAAATAGTGAAGAACAAACACAGTTTGTTTTACAAGTTGTTGCTGAGCATCAAAAGCTTTTCCCTGACAGTAACAAGATGACTATACTTCATGGACTTTCTGCATCTACGTGCAAACCATCAACCCTTGCATGAATGACGATTATGACATTGATTACTTTAGTTAACACTAGTTAATACTACCTCAGATTTCAGTTTTTACCTGAATAGAAAAGTAGCCTGACTTGTAATAAGTTGCACAGTGTAGCAATGACTTTACAGAACAGTTGTTTGTTAGTGACATTTGAATTTACCGCTTAATGCCTATCATTGCCTACTCATCAGGTTTTTGAGAAAAATTGAATATTTCAGAACGCTTGAGCACACCCTAAATGTCAACTAAACTCAATAAAGTTTTGCACATTTCTTTTTTTTTGAGTGGAGACTTGATTGAGAGGGTGAGAGGTTGAAAAATCCAAGGTTGAAAAATAAGGGTCACCCTAATTGACAATAAACTGGACTGCATAAAAATCATCATTGCTGTTTATGTCCCCCCTAAAGCTAATGCTAATGCTAATGCTGGCAGAACCCTGGGTGACCTCCATGGGATTATCAGCGAGCTTCATACAGCTCACCCCGCTAGGTGGGGACTGACTTAATGTGTTGTTAAAATCAGATTTGCCCAAATTTCACTAGAACATTAACTTTATCACATGAAAGGAAAACATGTTAGACCTTGTACATACAGATGCTCCTCTACTTTCGAGCTTTCAACTTTCAGACATATGAATGAAGAGGACTGTAAGTCCAAATTGTGTTTATTGGGTGCCAATTCCGCCTAATACAACTTCTGTCTGCTACTCCCGCCATGCCAGCAGTGTAGCGTGTGCACTCCCAACATTCTAGTTCTTTGTATGAACATTACGAACATTTCAAGTTACAAACGGCCGTTCGGAACGTATCTTGTTCACAAGTAAAGGAGCGTCTGTACAAACATCCACCATGCATACAACGCTGCACCTCCTCCACCTTGGACACTCAGACCATATCTCCATCCTCCTAGTTTCAGCCCACAGACCCATGCCAAAATGAATCAGACTAGTCCTGTGCGAGGTGAAAACCTGGTCTCAGGGTGCTGCAACCGCACTTAAGACTGCTTTGACTGCACAGACTGAGACATCTTCAGGGAAGATGTCACCTACGGCAGCTCAGCAGACCTGGAGGAGTACATAGCCTCAGTCACTTGCTACATTGGCAAATACATTTAGGATGTTACTGCCTTCAAAACCATCATCACACACAGAAACTGCAAACCCTGGTTCTCTGCAGAGCTGAGCACACTGGTGAAAATCAGAAATATTGTCTACAGGTCCAGAGACAGAGAGGTTATATTATATAGCCAGACCCAACCCATCCCAGAATATTAAGGAGGAAAAGTGTGCCTACACAGAAAAAATCAATAGCCACTTCATGGAATGAAAGGACACATGGCGCATGTGGCAGGGCATTCAGTCCATCACTGACTTTAAGCCAACACTTCAGGCCTGCAGCAGAGAGCCCTCCTTGCTAGATGCGCTGCATACAATATCTGCACATAGTTTGAAAAAAATCCACCAAATGGTTTTTGAGTTATTGTCTTAACAAGCAAAGCATTTGCGGGGGTGGCAGCTGACCGATATTAAAATCATATGTATCCACCATAGAGTCCGGGGAATACAATAATCATGCATTTTTTTGTAATTTAGGATCTCTGTTTGTTTATTTGTTATAGTGCCAAGTCCTTTGACACAGAACCTGAAAAATGGAGCTACTTATACTTTTCTATCAATACCGAAACATAAGCAACAGCACGTCCACAGTTTGTGGCTGACAAGGACTCATAAAGAGCTCTACAATGGAAAATCAGACTTGTACTCCAGTGGAACTGCAGATAAACAGCAAGATTATGGATGCAAACTTCGTTTCTGCCTTCCATGCAAATAAATCTAAAATGATAGGCCTTCACTGAGGATATTGAGGCTAAATCAAAACTTTAAGAAATTAGTTCCTAGCTGACAGAGTAAATTTCAGTTTCTCAAATAATATAACAATATTTTACAAAAGTTACGTTTCCTTCTTGTTTGATTTACAATGTCCTGTTTTTTTTTCCAGTACCATGCTGGCAATGTCGTCCTGCCCGGCCTGGAGCACAAGTACATTTTCCAGTCACTGGGTGGCACTGTTCTCCATTCCCACAAAAACAAATCAGGCCACAGTCCTGCCCATAGCGCCCAGGTGGACAAGCTGTGAAACACACAGACAGACCATGAATGCAATGAGGTTGAATATAGTCGCCTGAATAACACAGTGCTTGGCAGGTATTGATCCCTGTGGCATGCTGACGCTCTCACCAGTACTGCAGTTGGCTCCAAGGAATCCTGGCAGGCACTCACAGGTGCCTGTGATGGTGTCACAGCGCCCCCCGTTGGAACATTTACATCTCTCCTTGCAGTGTCGTCCATAAGTTCCTTCATGACAGGCTAATTGGGAAACATAAATTGCCAGGTGCAATCACTTCTGCTGTCCATTGCACTGTAAAATAACTGTATACTGCCAAGGACATATAAGACAACTAAGTTCCTAGCAGATTCCATAGTAATCAGCAGGGGCGGACTGGTAGGCGGGACCTGGGCCCCCCAGCAACATTGAGGGGCCCCTCCTACTGCAATCCTCACATGTATGCGAAGCATTTGTTAAGCTTAAAGCACTGATGTCATACATATTATATGGGCTGATGACATGCTACTTTTATATCTCTCATTTTTATATATAGAATTCCATTATAGTGGGAGTCATAACACAAAAAATATTTGGTACAATACTTAATTTTGAAATGTAATAATTTATAATGTTTTCTAGTGTGATTACTTGGAGCGTGGACTGTGGACTAATTGCCATCTAGTGTTGGCAATTCACATTGTGATGACTCTGAGTGCTGTCATACCTGCGAGCCGGTTACACCTGATGCTTGTTAGGGCTGCAATTTGTCATGACCGTGCCAAGCACGGACCAAGGAAGCAGGCGACGAAGACGAGGAATCAGGAGTAAGGGTTTTAATTGACATTCGGAGAGCCAGATAGGACAGAAAACGGCATAACACTACAATGACAGGACTAGGGAAATAAACTCTGACGCGGACTTAAATACACCTAACTAACGAAGACAACTCAAAACAGCTGGTAAACACTGGGAATCCACATGAGGTTAACGAGGGGGGCGTGGCACAGGAGGATCGGCACGATCGGGGTGTGACACAATTATTAATAAATACGTTTAAAAACACACAATATTAAAGGTACATGGTATACATTGACCTCCATAGTTTAATGTTTAAAGCACACTTTACAGGACATGTCTGTATTATTCAGGTTTCTCCTTGCCGTCATGTTGCAGCAAATAGTAAGTGGGCAAGTGTAGTGGGATTGCAAAACTTCTTGCAAGGGAACGCAAAAGTATTTAAAAAAATATTTTCCCACCCTGACCTTTTATGGGTTCCATAGACGGAAAACAGCAAAATAACAACAAACAGTCTAGTGTGCTTATAGGCTGCAGTGACCCTTTAAATAAAATCAGTTGTTTATAGTTTGAATATAAATTTTCTTCATGAATCATGTTCAAACACATGTTCGAATATCAGTTAAAAAGTAACAGCCCTACTGAAAAGTAGATATTAGTAGTATATACTGACCTTGTTATATCCTCCTGAGACCCAAGGAAAAAAGTGTCCTTCAGTTTTAGGTTAATTGTGATTTTCTATGTCTTTAGAGTAAATAAGACATCTTTTTTCAAATTTAATTTTATTTTTAATTTCACTGCATGTCCTCTTTAGTGTACAACAGGAGTAAATATGTTTCCTTACATCAGCGAAAAGATATATGCAAAAACAAAATGTCCACTGCAATGGGCATAAATGAATGGGTGGGGTATCAGTAGTGTTGTAGTCAAGACCGCCTAAACCGAGACCAAGACATTGCAGAGACCGGAGGGTATCAAGACCAAGACACTGCCGAGAG